CATTTCAAGCTATTTGGGCACATATTTACCACTTTCTATGAGCATTTCGGATCACCTTAAGCTTTACAGAAAATAAACACTCATTTTGATCTAGAACACTCCTCTCTTTTGCCATAGAACAGGCTTCATTAATTGACAAAATGTTGACACAACTAGTGTGAGGAGATATCTGACAATCCCTGGAACAATCAAAGTCGACTTTCACAAAAAAGTCGATGACTCCCTAAAACCTACAAAATCGACGTCCCTATGCAATCAGTAGAACACTTAATAGGTGAACCCAACTTGGAAATACACAAGTGACTATTCTACCGATCCATCCACTTTAAAGTATTGTAAAATTTCCATTGAGAAACCGGTTAGTTTTTGCAACAAAATACTAAAGATCACAACTGCAGCAGATGGGATAATATCATCCTTCGATGTTCTCTTTCTTTCACTCTCTGCGCGTTGCTACCAATAAATTTGATGAAGCGGTGTACAGGGGTCTTTAAGTCTTACGGCATGTATGTTTCTGAAACTGTTATAGTTTTAGGTCCGGACCCATACCTAGACCCTAACTGCTAATTCGCTCCAAAAATATTAAAATAACTGAATAAAACCTTTGTGTGATTACCTATCCTGCCGAAGTCGCAACGCAAACATTAGAAGCTGCGGTTCTTTTACTAATACATGTTACATTTTGGCTGTAATTTGCACATAACGCATTTGGTTCCGTCAAAATGATCACATTTTAGTGATCTACACCATTATTAACTTACCATGTCCAAGGATAATGCTTTTTTTCCAAAAAATGAGTTGACAGGAAACCTAATTTCTACATGTCCGCGTGTAGAAAAAGACAAATAGATCATTTGAAACGTCCGTTTGCTCCAACGTGATGTACATCGAATGTATTTTGTGCAATGAGAACAAATATCCTATCTCTCACAAGCGAAATCGTTTCGACCGCCCTCTTAATCAAACCAAACACTATTGCTCCGACCGTGAAAGTTATCGAGTAGAACTAACTTGCCTGTTGAAACTATTTTATCAGAATGCGTACTCTAGAGGTGCTATCCTCTGATGCATAAAACAAAAAGAGTCACAAGAAAAGGAGCAATAGAGTTTCGGTCAGCTGAGCAAATCAATAACCTGATAAACTCTTCTCGTGGAAAGGTAACTGATAGTTCGATCGTCGCTCTCGACGATGTCCACCGCACGCTTTAGCAGGCTGAAGCAACGCGGTGACTCCCACGGGATTATAGTGAAAGTACGCCTGCGGAGAATCTACCCCAATCTCTCACCACTCCCACACCGGGACCCGATGTTA